CCCCCCAAGCAACCGCAGCGCAGCGCCGTTCTGATGTCCTGATGTCCTGATGTTCTGATGTCCTGACGTCCTGATGTCCTGATGTCTTGACGTCCTGATGTTCTGATGTCCTGACGTCCTGACGTTCTGATGTCCTGATGTCTTGACGTCCTGATGTCCTGACGTCCTGAAGTTCTGATGTCCTGACGTTCTGATGTCCTGATGTCTTGACGTCCTGATGTCCTGACGTCCTGACGTTCTGATGTCCTGATGTTCTGATGTTCTGATGTCCTGACGTCCTGATGTCCTGATGTCTTGACGTCCTGATGTTCTGATGTCTTGACATTCTGATGTCCTGACATCCACCTGACGTCCTGACGTTCTGATGTCCTGACATCCACCTGATGTCTTGACGTCCTGATGTCCTGACATCCTGATGTCCTGACGTTCTGATGTTCTGACGTCCTGACGTTTTGACATCCTGACGTTGTGATGTCCTGATGTCCTGACATTCTGATGTCCTGACATTCTGACGTCCTGACGTTCTGATGTCCTGACGTTCTGATGTCCTGACGTTCTGATGTCCTGACTTCCTGACGTTCTGACGTTCTGATGTCTTGATGTCCTGATGTCCTGATGTCCTGACATCCTGACGTCCTGCCAGACCTGAATTAAACTCACTGACAGAAACTTAATGAAAGCAGTTGAAGCGTCTCACTGCAGGACACTCCAATCAGAATCATCGATTAACCCAAAACAAAATCCACATGATAACAAACCAACCTGCTCAGAGGTAAAATCACATCAATTATTTTACCATAAAAACACAACAAATTCCACATCTAAATAAAAACCTCATCATCACCACGACATCAATGATAAAATCATTCTCTCTAAAACTCACCTCAGCAGCGTGTGCACGACAGTGATCATGGATCAGGACTGAGGCCAACACACCTGAGCTCCATAAGCCTCTTCACAGTCCAGGTGACGTCTCTGACTGGGCCCTAGTGTCCTCCGTCTACAGGATCTGTCCTCGACTCTGAGAAGCTCCATTGGTTGATGTCACTGAGCTCGCTAACATCAGCCGAGGAGGACACTGTTAATGTTTACGTCTCACGCTATATGATCCTGTCATCCACGACTAGTTGCAGGCTTCCTTCTGCACAGTGATTGGTGGTTGTAGTTCCGCAGACAGGAAATAGTTCCTACATGAAAGTGCTCACAATTTAGCAGAGCTGACAGAGACTGGTAATGTCCGCACCTACGTCATATATGATGTTACAGTGTCTGATGTTCATATTAATTAATAATGAGATAAATGTTTGAAAAGTAAAAACCTCAGCAAACTTCAGATCGTTCTGAAAACTCTGTTTCCAACAAGATGAGCCGACATTAGCTGATGATGAACAATTATCTCTAAACTCTGCTGATGCAGAACCATCGTCTCTAAACTGTGCCGCTGATGAGGAACAATCGTCTCTAAACTCTGCTGATGAGGAACAATTGTATCTAAACTTTGATGATGAAGAACCGTCGTCTCTAAACTTTGCTGGTGAAGAACCATTGTCTCTAAACTCTGCTGATGAGGAACAATTGTATCTAAACTTTCATGATGAAGAACCATCGTCTCTAAACTTTGCTGGTGAAGAACCATTGTCTCTAAACTCTGCTGATGAGGAACAATCGTATCTAAACTTTGATGATGAGGAACAATCGTCTCTAAACTTTGCTGCTGAAGAAACATTGTCTCTAAACTCTGCTGATGAGGAACCATCGTCTGTAAACTTTGCATGTGAAGAACCATCGTCTCTAAACTTTGCTGATGAAGAACCACCATCTCTAAACTTTGCACGTGAAGAACCATCGTCTCTAAACTTTGCTGATGAATAACCATTGTCTCTAAACTCTGCTAATGAAGAAAAATCCTCTCTAAACTCTGCTGATGAAGAACCATCGTCTCTAAACTCTGCTGATGAAGAACCATTGTCTCTAAACTCTGCTGCTGAAGAACCATTGTCTCTAAACTCTGCTTATGGGGAGCCATCGTCTCTAAACTCTGCTGATGAAGAATCATCGTCTCTAAACTCTGCTGCTGAAGAACAATCGTCTCTAAACTCTGCTGATGGAGAACCATCGTTTCTAAACTCTGCTTATGGGGAACCATCGTCTCTAAACTCTGCTGATGAAGAACAATCGTCTCTAAACTTTGCTGATGAAGAATAATCATCTCTAAACTCTGATGATGAAGAACCATTGTCTCTAAACTCTGCTGATGAAGAACAATCGTCTCTAAACTTTGCTGACGAAGAATCGTCTCTAAACTCTGCTGATGAAGAACCATTGTCTCTAAACTCTGCTGATGAAGAACCATTGTCTCTAAACTTTGCATGTGAAGAACCATTTTCCCAAACTCTGCTGATGAAGAACAATCGTCTCTAAACTCTGCTGTTGAAGAACCGTCATCTCTAAACTCTGCTAATGAAGAACCATTGTCTCTAAACTCTGCTGATGAAGAATCATTGTCTCTAAACTCTGCTGATGAAGAACCATTGTCTCTAAACTTTGCTGATGAAGAACCATTGTCCCTAAACTCTGCTGCTGAAGAACCATCGTCTCTAAACTCTGCTGATGAAGAACCATCGCCTCTAAAATCTGCTGCTGAAGAACTATCATCTCTAAACTCTACTGCTGAAGAACCATCGTCTCTAAACTCTGCTTAGAGTTTAGATGGCGACTGTTAATACACCAAATTAATCCAAAACTAAAAACTGTTTTAACACAGAGATATAAAAACACTACATGTTACGTAAGGGATAATGTATAGTGAGCCGGGGACTGTTGAAAAATAACTCCTGACAGGGGAACACATCAGGGTTCCATTCCCCCGCAGGGAGTTATTTTTCAACTGTCACTGGCTCACTATACATTATCTCGCTTAGAACATGGCTTACGACTAAAGCCCAGCATACACTGTATGATTTTTGACTGGTTTTGACCCGATTTTTGAGACGCACGACCTGCCGACGCTTGGACCGGATTTCCGCTTCGTCGTGCGACGAAGCGCAACAAACATACAAGCTAGCACGCTAGACGAGGTACAACACACACACACACACACACACACACACAGGGTGCACCCGGCTGTAGCCAGCTTGCCTCCAACTCTCGTTGTAAAATGGACAAACCATACTGTCCACGTCTTTCAAGCCATCTGCGAGTCCATATGTGCCGACGCCTCTTCTTTTTGGACGTTTCGGAACACAGTATAGCGTAAATCATCAAAGCAAACCACTTGTCCTGCTTCGTTGGCAACATCGGCACTTCCTGAACAAATCGGAGCTTTCAAATGTATATTTATTGACAGCTGTCAACGGGCAAGACAGTCAGCAGAGGCCAACGAGCCGTTTTCACCCGTACAGTGTGAGCTCTCTGGTCGTGCTTGATGATCGGAACGTACAGTGTGAGCACATAAATCGTGAGCTTTGGCCGCACATCACAGACAATTCACTCGTACAGTGTGAGCTGGTATTAACAACAAGATTTTAAAAATCGTACAGTGTATGCTGGGCTTTAAACATTCAAATGTTAGAACTGGCATCAATATTATTAAATTGCTGGCAGAGTGTAGTGACAGAGGAGAGGCGTTCACCAGACAAACAGGAGCGGAGGAGAGGATTTTACTCCACTTCTCCTGGTCAGAGATGCTGGGTGCCCAGTAGCTGCGAAGGCTGCCCTCACATTTATGGCCAGTGACCGACATGATCCGCCTGCTCTCCAGGACAGCTTGGGAGAGCTGTGTGGACTAACGTTAACTGATTTCGATGCTCCTCAGTCTAAGGCCATTGCTATGGCGTCCCTAGCAACGGAGCAGCAGAGCAGCAGTGATACCTCAGGAAATAAACACCGCAGAATTTTGTTGATTGACCAGTCAGAATCAAGTATTTAAGAGTGCCATGTTCTAAATATACATAACTGAAAATAAAATGATCATATGACAGAAACAATAATCAGAGTCATCACAGCTGATCCTCCAGCTGCTGTGACATCATCTGATGTTGACCAATGAGATGACATCAGTCACAACTTCAAATATAATTTTATTTAATTTACACACAGAAACACATGAACTGTACCTGAGTACAATGGATGGACCTGCACTTGTACAGATCCTTCCTAGTCATCCAACCACTCAGAGCGCTTTTACACTATATGACATTCACCCATTCACACACACACTCACACGCTGGTGGCCGCGGCTACCATACAGGGTGCCACCTGCTCCTCGATTTTTAACACACTGACACACTGATAGAGCAGACATCAGGAACAATTTGAGGTTCAGTATCATGCTCAAGGATACTTCCACATGCAGACTGGAGGAGCCGGGGATCGAACCGCTGATCTTCTGATTGGTGAACAACCCACTCTGCCACAGCCACCCAGCAGTACACATGAACACATGAACTGTAGACATTTAATGAATCTTTGACCTGGTTGTCTATATTTACTGTGTGTTGTCATGGTAACAGTGAAGCTGTTATCGTACGTTGTTGTTTACATTTTAAATCAGGTGGCGTGTACATGTTGCATTGGTCCTGTGGTCGTCATGGTAACGGTGAAGCAGCCTCACAGGATGAGTGCAGCTCTGTGATCTGATTCAGTCTGAGAGGAGACTTTTCACATTTAATACCACTGCGCCACTTCCTCATGTCACCACCAAAATAAGAGCGCAGCAGCCTCAGCACCAATCAACTGTCTCTGTTTTAATTTACACCCAGATGTGTTTATGATGTCAGAAATCTGAATGTACAAAACACAGACGAGACCATTTCCAGTTCACCTCCTAAAACTGCTGCTCCCTGTTGTTTCTATCAACAAACAACAACAACAACAACAACAACAACAACACAAACAGGGAACAAATGTGACGTTGTTGGGACTATTTTCAGCAGCGCATGAATCCACACTGCAGTGAGTCAAAATAAACTACATTTACTTGTTTACCTGTTTGTTGACAGTCACCAGAAGAAAAACAACAACCGGCAGACATCATCATGAGTGAAGAGAAACATCGAATAAACATCAACTCAGTCTGTCGTCAAAGTACTGAGACCGAAACATACCAAGGACTGAGAAAACACCTGGGACAGGTAACAACAAGGTGAGACCTGGACACAAACGCAGCAACACCTGGGACAGGTAAACACCACCATACTCTATGACACACACTGACAGGAAATCATCTTTTGTCCAGATGTTGAGTCCGGGGCCTCCATCATGGACAATGTGACAGCTGGCAGCCCGCCAGGTGAGACGCACCTGAAGAACTACAACTATCTGGCCCTGGTCCTCGGCGTGCCCCTGATCCTGGTCATCATCCTGGGCAACGTCCTAGTGTGTCTGAGCGTGCTCACTGAGCAATCCTTAAAAACCGCGACCAACTACTTCATCATCAGCCTGGCGGCCGCTGACCTGCTGCTGGCGCTGCTGGTGCTGCCGCTCTATGTCTACTCTGAGGTCAGTGTGACTCTATACCAGCACTGTGAGGACATGTTAGAATGTGAGGACATGTTAGAATGTAAAGATCTAATCTGAGGCCTGTGAGGACGGTTGTGTTTATGAGGACAGACTGGTGTTTAAACAGCACTTTGAGGACATGAGTTCATCCGTGTGTCTGTGTTGTGTTTAGTTTCTGGGCGGCATCTGGACGTTAAGCACCGCCCTCTGTGACGCTCTGATGACCATGGATGTGATGCTGTGCACCGCCTCCATCCTCAACCTGTGTGCCATCAGTGTGGACAGGTGAGTCCAAACACAAGTGTGTGTCTCACCCATCTGTGTCTAACCTGTCTGTGTCTTGCCCGCCTGGGTCTCACCTGTCTGTGTCTCATCTGTCTGCGTCTCACCTGTCTGCATCTCACTTGTCTGCATCTCACCTGTCTGTGTTGTGTCTCACCTGTTGTGTCTCACCTGTCTGTGTTGTGTCTTACTTGTCTGCGTCTCACCTGTGCGTGTCTCACCTGTCTGTGTCTCACCTACCTGTGTTGTGTCTCACCTGTTGTGTCTCACCTGTCTGTGTTGTGTCTCACCTGTCTGTGTCTCATCTGTCTGCGTCTCACCTGTTTGTGTCTCATCTGTCTGCATCTCACCTGTCTGTGCTGTGTCTCACCTGTCTTGTGTCTCACCTCTTGTGTCTCACCTGTCTTGTGTCTCACCTTTTGTGTCTAAACTGCCTGTGTCTAGCCTGTCTGTGTCTCTCCTGTGTTGTGTCTCACCTGTCTGTCTCACCTGGCTGTGTCTCACCTTTTGTGTCTCACCTGTCTGTGTCTCACCTGTCTGTGTTGTGTCTCACCTGTCTGTGTCTCACCTGTCTGTGTTGTGTCTCACCTGTGTGTGTCTCACCTGTGTGTGTCTCACCTGTGTTGTGTCTTACCTGTGTGTGTCTCACCTGTCTGTGTCTCACCTGGTTGTGTCTCACCTGTCTGTGTCTCACCTGTGTTGTGTCTCACCTGTGTGTGTCTCACCTGTTGTGTCTCACCTGTCTGTGTCTCACCTGGTTGTTTCTCACCTGCCTGCATCTCACCTGCCTGCATCTCACCTGTCTGCGTCTCACCTGTCTGTGTCTCACCTGTCTGTGTTGTGTCTCACCTGTCTGTGGTGTGTCTCACCTGTTTTGTGTCTCACCTGTCTCGTGTCTCACCTGTCTGTGTCTCACCTGCCTGTGTCTCACCTGCCTGCATCTCACCTGTCTGTGTCTCACCTGTCTGTGGTGTGTCTCACCTGTCTGTGTTGTGTCTCACCTGTCTTGTGTCTCACCTGTCTTGTGTCTCACCTGTCTGTATCTCACCTGTGTTGCATCTCACCTGTCTGTGGTGTGTCTCACCTGTCTGTGTTGTGTCTCACCTGTCTTATGTCTCACCTCTTGTGTCTCACCTGTCTTGTGTCTCACCTGTCTGTGTCTCACCTGTGTTGCATCTCACCTGTCTGTGTCTCACCTGTGTTGTGTCTCACCAGTGTTGTGTCTCATCTGTGTGTGTCTCAGGTACATCGCTGTAGTTGTTCCTCTGAAGTATAACAGAAACCAGTTCAGCGTCCGTCAGTTGGCGCTCATTGCAGCGACCTGGGTGCTGTCTCTCAGCGTGGCAAGCCCGGTGATCTTCGGTCTGAACCAGGTGGCGGGTCGCAATCCGAGCGTGTGCAAACTGGAGGACAAGCGGTTCGTGGTGTACTCGTCCTTCTGCTCCTTCTTCGTGCCATGTCCCGTTATGCTCCTGTTGTATTATGGGATGTTTCGAGGCCTGCGGCGGTGGAGCAGTCGGAGCCGCTCTCAGGGTGGGCGGGGCAGTCATCCTGCTCTGTCTGTACGCCTCCACCTGGCTCTACGGCGAGTGAAGGTGACCAGGAGCCGAGAGAAGGTTGTGTATGTCACATCAGTCGGGCTCAGTCCCACCTCTCCGTCCAGTGTCTCCATGACAAACCCAGTGTCGGAGGAGCAGCAGGACGGAGTGCCGGCGGCGCCGGAGAGCGACCCGATGACAACGCAGATGGACAGCGTGTCGGATGGCGAGCCCACAGAGAGGCGGGAGAATGACCTGACAAAGAAAAAGAGAGGAAGACTAAACAGTAAGAGCAGCAGAGTCAGCGTGAGAGAGCGGAAAGCCATGAAGGTGCTTCCTGTCGTCGTTGGTGAGTATCAACCTTTGTTCAGATGGCGCCAGTGGTGTAGTGGAGGGTATACGCAGCTATATGTCTCATTGGACGCCATCAGACAAAAACACATCACTAAATTATATCTGACACATCAAACCAGGAAGGTCTGGCAGGAAGTTGAACACAAAGACCAGGTCAATCAATCAATCAATCAATCAATTTTATTTATAAAGCCCAATATCACAAATCACAATTTGCCTCACAGGGCTTTACAGCATACGACATCCCTCTGTCCAAACCTTATGTATGGCGAAGGCTTTTAATTTGAAACAGAAAGTGGCAGCACTCAGTCACGGATCCTACCCTGATGTCACAGTCCAGCCCGAAAGTCTTAGTTGTTAAACTGAGACACTTTATCTTTAGCCCCGCCCATTGATCATTAACACAACCCTCCTCTCTTTAGCCCCTCCCCCTGAACATTAACACTCCGCCTACTGACAAATGTCCCTGTGGGACAGGTGTGCAGCTGTCGACCATTGCCGAGCGTCTCTGCTGATAACGATAGTTTGTAAAACCTTGTGTACACTGAGCACAACACCTGTTCCTTTAAGATTTAATTCTGATTCTCATTTCAATCAGTGTCTTATTTCCACTTCCTCTTTGTGACGGTGGTGCCACCTGTTCTGACCATTGCTTATAACGTTCAGTGTCGTAGACGCAGCTGTTCCTCTGTCAAACTGATGAGGTCATTCGACTGTAAGTGGCTCTTTAGCTTGTGTGCTAACACTACCTTGCTATTGCGCTACACGGAGAATACAGGACGGTCGCCATGGCCAACAGGAAACACAACCACTCACGTCATTGCTCACTCATTCACTTGTCACGTTCACAGAGCACCGCAGGAATGAGTCAGAATACTGGTGAATGAGTTAGCATGTTAGCATGTTAGCACTTCCTGTTCCCTGGTGTTTTTGGTTGGATGTCTGAAATAAGGTTTGTGGGTAACACGAGCTGAAGAGACTTTTTGTTCTGTGTCAGTAAACATCAGAACGTCATGATGCTGAACACGATGTCACCGCCTTGTTGTGGCGGTGACGTTAAATCACGTGACCTTGGTGTTGTTTGTTTAAGGCCTAAGGGTCGGTACACATGCCATGTCTTTAACTGCCTCGAAAACACAAGGTCAGGTGCTGACCGCTACTCGGTGTCAACTTTCAAGAGCGTGGCAGCAGGTAGCGTCTGAGGTTGCTAAGTAACCATAACCAGCACCATGTAGTAACCTAAAGCTCTGACAGCTCTGCACACGCAGACTGATACATACTGAAGAAGGAAAGATATCTGTCTGAGTTTAAAACCAGGACAGGAAACTGCTTCATCATTGACTTTAACTCATAATCATCATCATCATAATCATCATCATCATCATCATCATCACCATCATCATCACCTACATCATCATCATCATCACCACCATCATCATCATCACCATCACCATCATCATCACCTACATCATCACCATCATCATCATCATCATCACCATCACCATCATCATCACCTACATCATCACCATCATCATCATCATTGTCACCATCACCATCATCATCACCTACATCATCATCACCATCATCATCATCATCATCACCATCATCATCATCACCACCATCATTATCACCACCATCATCATCACCACCATCATCACCTTCACCATCATCATCATCATCATCATCATCATCACCATCATCATCACCACCATCATCATCACCATCACCATCATCAGCATCACCATCACCATCACCATCATCATCACCATTATCATCATCATCGCCATCATCACCATCACATCATCATCATCACCATCACCATCATCACATCACCATCATCACCATCATCATCACCATCATCATCACCTACATCATCATCACCATCACCATCATTATCATCATCACCACCATCATTATCACCATCATCATCACCATCATCATCATCATCATCACCACCCTCATCATCATCATCATCATCATCATCATCATCATCACCAT